AATTGACTTTAGGCTTGATAACTATACAAAAATAAAAGAAACTTAATCATGTTTTTTTAGATTTATTTTTTTATCTTTTGTTTTAAACCTTAATACAAAAATAAATAACTAAATGATAAGCCTTATAACTTAAATTAGATAACAGAAAATTTAAAAATATAAATTAGATGAAAAAAAACAAATAAATAACGATTCAACCCTTATCCCTAAAATCAACAATTCAATTTATTATCCCTAAAATCAAAAATTCTATTTAAAAAAAAATATATATATCGCATATAGCAATGCCCATGCTTCACTCACTGTTTCCTCTTTCCCTCACGCAATCTTCCAAGTACGATAGAACCAGTAAGCCTTATCCCTCTTTTCCTCACGCAATCTTCTAGGTACGGTTCTCTTCGATCTCGATTTGGAGATTTTTGTGATTTTTCCACCAGCCACTCCTTATTACCAGATAAAAACACTTCCTGCGAGTTCATTTTTTCCACATATCGGCTTCCTGTCTTCCAGGTTAGTTCTCTTTGTTAATTAATTTTGTTGAATCTATGTTTGCAATATATTCATGCCTAATTATCATATCAATATATTAGTCTTACAAGTTTTTTAATTTTTTTTAGGGTTTTAGTCTTTGAATTATTGATTCTAATGTGATAATGAAATATATATACACAACTACATAAACATTGTCCTTTTATACCTATAGATACTTATAAAGAAAACGTTTAAAAGCTTAAACCGATTTTTTAATGCTTATTTCCGGAACTGCAAGAAATTTTAAACCAGCTTTTAAACACTATCCAGGTAACATGATTTTACAGCCCAAAGTTTAAAAGTATGCTGTCAATTGTTGCTTATTTTTTAAAATTTAGTTTAAAATTTCTTGCATTTTTCTGCATTTATATTCTAACTTTGTTATACAAATAATCTGAAACAAACTTAACATGAATAGTTCATGTGTAGTAGTAAAGTTACAGAAAGGTTCCATCTAATAGTGAACTTTTAGTCATTAATTATTCAACATCATTTGTGTATAAAATGGTACCTGTAATAATAAACTTACAAAAAAGCTCCCTGTACTAGGAAAAATTCCAATCTTTTATGGGAAAAAAATTAATTGTTGATTTTTCATTTTAATTTGAACTTCACAGATTCTACAAAAATGGATACAACTATGGTAGCAAACTTAAACCCTGGTGATGGAGACAAGCCAATAGAAATAAAAGTCATTAGGAAATGGTTATCATATGGGAAAAAAGCTTAATGTTGCTACATATTCCTTGATAAAAGTGTGAGTGCAGTCACCATAATATTACATGCAATTGTCCATTATAATCAATTCTATGTTAGATACTTATACATATACATATAAAACCATTCATTTTTGGCAGGGAGATGCAATAGAAGCATGTGGTTACTTGGGAGATAAAGGCTACTTTGATTTGATAATCAGGATGGATGGTTGTTACTCTGTAAGCAACTACGTGTGTGACAATGCAAATACTTTCTTTGTTACTGTCCCACACAAAACCAAAATCAAGCTAGGCAGGGCAGCAAAATTTGAAGAAATACGTGATGATGGATTTCCTGTGTACTACTTCAATTTTCTTGCATATGGTCAATTAGGTGCAAGGCTTGATAACCATAAGACACTCACAGGTATGTAATACTTATATATATATATATATATATATATATATATATATATATATATATATATATATATATATATATATTTCTTTTAAAATCACAAAATTGTTATATTTGTGTTAAGATTATATCGGAAGAGTTGAAAATGTGTATGAAGTAGTCAGAACTCAAGGAAATGCAATTTTGAAACTCAAACTAGAAAATTTGAGGTATTTACTATCTCATATATCTAACAAAGACCACAGCATATCATATTTAATATTTGAAATATGTTTGTTCAGTGGAACAATGATTGAGACAACTTTCTGGGATGAGGCGGCTAACTCATTTGATAAAGAAGCTATCGAAGCATTACCTTCTCCTGTTATTGTTGCTATTACTTCAATGAAAGTCACACAGTATCTAGGTACATTTTTCTCATTTTATTGTATTGAAGCATTTTTCTTTCAAAGTACAATGCTTAATAAAGAAAAACACTTTTTTAAAAGAAATAGACAAATAAAGTTTAAAGTATTATGCTATATTAGAAAATCAGATTAAAGTACATTCATATTTCTTGCATTAAGCAACATTTATAGAAACTGCCCCAACCTTATTATTTTTGCTTATTTTTCTTTTATTTTGTAATTAATAGCATTGTTATGTTGGTTTCTTTAATAGGAAATTTGCAACTGACAGCAACTCCAGCCTCATATATTTACATCAACCCCACTATTCCCGAGGCTGCTGCAATGGCTGTTGAGTAAGTTCTTTGATCATATTTATATAACTTTGTGACATATCTTATAGCTCATTTTCTCTTTTAGGTTTGTCGAACGACATAATCAAAACCCTGTACTCAAGATAAAATACCAAAAAAGTAAAGATGTACAAGTCGAAAAGAAAAGAAACAGGTTTCCATTGGTAGACTTGCTATCTCAAAACCCAAACCGTTATGCAGTAAGCCATCAAACCTTCTCTTATCTTAAAATATATATACAAATTTTATAGTTTTAAATTTAATATAGATAATATTACAGGGAGCTCAGTTCACTTGCAAAGCATCTCTGGTTAGCATAGATGCAAGCAAGGGTTGGTTTTATAAAGCATGTCATGAATGTCGTAAAAAACTTCAAAAAAGAGGAAACACACTTGCATGTGAAGATCATGATCAAGTTGCTAAACCAAACAATTTGTAAGTACTATGTTTTTTATGTCAACTACTTGAGTATAATCATCTTAACATATATATGTCTAATAATCGTTCAACAAGTTTTTTATCACAGCATACATCGCAGATGAGACCGCTCAAGCAAAGATAGTCTTTTTTGATGCTGCAGCTAGAATGTTGTTCCAAACAGATTGCAACACACTCATTGATCATCATGGATACACTGATCCGTACACATTGCCTGCACCACTCACCATTCTCATAGGCCAGCCAAAAATAATTCAATTCCGATTCGCAAGATTCTGTAGGCCGAGTGCTAAAGACTTTGTAGCAGATGCTGTTTTTGAAGATATAGTTTCTCCAGAAAAAGAAAGTCACACAGAAACAGACATTATCAACCAACCAACTGCCTCAGCACCATAAAAAACACACTCATTGCATCAACTGATCCTCCATCTATTGCTTCTGTTACTCCAGCAAAAGCCTTTCAAGAGCGTCTCACAACATCACCCATCACACCCGCTTCCGCTGAAACTAAACATCACCAAATGAAATCTGCCCAGAAACAACTTTTCCAAACATCATCTGAAGGTACATAAATCTTACTAATCGTTTCTTCTAGAATCTATTTTAGGAATATATATATATATATATATATATATATATATATATATATATATATATATATATATATATATATATAATATCATTTTTTTTATTATTTAGAAAATAATATTGAAGGTTTTTGCAGATTCTCTTGACCAAACAGATGGTAAGTCGGTTAAGAAGCAAAAAAAAATGTGTTGATGCAACAAACGTGAACAACAAAACCTGTGTTGGTTCACGAGGAAAAGACAAGTAGTTGTGCTCCATGTCATGCAGATCAGTAAGGTATATATGTAATATCATGGATTGTCTATCAATTATTTAGTATTTCCTATATTCAATATTTATTTATGCTTTTTGAACAATGTCACGGGAAATATGATTAACTTTTGAGGCTCTGCCATGTTTTCTATAAAAACTTTGGAGAGCTGTCGTGCTATGTAAAAACATTTGGGATAGTTGTCACTGCGATATTTTGTTACATCATGGGTTGTTACTACCGTGTATTTTGTTGAAACCTTTTGAAGAACTGCTACTTTTGCCCCTTTTGAAGAACTGCTACTTTTGCCCCTTTTGAAGAACTGTTGTTGTTGCCATTACTTAAAATATGTTGAATATCAATGTCCCTTCTGAATATGTTTACAACTATGTAAAGTTGTTTATGTAAATATGTTTATTTAGCTTTTATTTATATTATAAGTGTTATATCTTTTTACTTAACCATTTAACAAATTTAACATACCAAAATACATAATTCATACACTTTTCATCAACAAATTTAAATAAATTTTATTAAACAATGTGAAACTTAAACTTCATTGCTTAAAGTACCGCGGCAACGTGCGGCCATAAAACCTCGTTTATGAACAAGCGTAATGATAATATGACAACAGTTGTATTATATTTATAAAACAAATGATAGAAGGAATAAAACAAAAAGGGTACTTGGAATATTTGAACTCACCAACTCTTCTTTACCTAAACAGTCACAAACCAGTAGACAAAGTATACTTGTATTTTTTAAATAGGAGAACAATGTTTATAACCTAAAAGAGGACGCATGATAGAATAATTTGTCTAAAATATAAAACTTTAACATAATATATATTTTGATTACAATTTTTACTACAAATACTAAGAATAATAATACGAGTATCTTGGTCTCATAATAATTGGGTAAGAGGAATGCAAGGTGTTTTCGAAGATAACATCCGACATGAAAAGAACCAAGGCCTACACCGAGTGATCTCCTGCAAAAGAAATGACAACTCAGAGAAAAGAAATAACGAGTAGTGTGTAACAAAGGAAAAAGAGACATATACAGAAATAAGACTAGACTGAAAATAGAAAATAACATGAATGAGAAAGTATACACAAACAACAGAAGTAGATGTTGGTAACAAGTAAGAAGCACATATTTGACAACTCTTAAATCGCTTTATTAATTTTTCTATATAATATAATGTTCTAATCATATTTGATTGTGTTAATTATAATAAATATTGAATAAAAAAGGATTTTAGAGTCAACTCAAACAACCCAACTTGTTTAGACTGGTACTCAAAATTACTCATTTTGATTAATTACACTATTCGTCCACCCCGACCAATTTATTACCTTTACATACTGTTAAACAACAAAAACAAAAAATTTATTCATTATAAATATATGATAAGAAATACAGTTATGATGTCATATTTTTGTTTAGAAAATACATCATAATCAAGAATTTGACATAGAGAAGTTACATATTGGTTTCCTTAGCTTCATCGTCATGAAACTTCACTCCAACACGCACACGCATAAGGCTTATGTATTTAATTTAATACGATAATAAATATAACTAAGTTTTTGATGTATATAAAATACAAGATCTTTTACCCCTTGATGTATATAACTAGCTGGGAAGTTTAAATAAATAAATAAATAAATAAAAGAAGGGGGGGTATTCTTTGAAAGTCGACCATTGAGAATTGGGAGATTTAAAGTATATTTAATATTGAGCTTTATGTGTGACATTCTTAAATTCTGGTCCAATTTTTTCTGAAAAAATGATGCTTTTTTAAAAACCAATTTTTTTATAAATATTTTAAATGCAAAATCACATATAATTTAAAACATAAAAACTAACACCCGATGTTTAATTTTAAAAACTCCAAGGGATTTCCCAATCAAGAATCATCACATAATAAAAAACATAACTCCAAACTATAACCCTAGATAACAATGTTTCAATTCATTTGGCCATTAAAAAAATGTCTTCAATTCCCCTAACGATTGGAAGTCCACCTAAATAAGTCATAACTACAACACTCAAACTAATGTCCACTTACCCGTCTAGAATGGTCGGTGATAGTCGTTGTACTCTCTCGATGACAAAGAGTAACATCAACAACAATAAGTTAATAACACCACCTAATTGATCATGGCAATAATAACAAGCAGCATCAATAACATTAATATACAATAAAAGAACAACCTAGCATTGCAACTAGATAGTATAAAGGCAAGTACATCAAACACAATCAATGACATGCAATATCAGTAATATCAACATAGTACGCATAATATAGTATATCGGAGACTCCACCAGAATACAAATAGTAAACAACTGATACATGGAACAACTAAGTAAAACCAATTAGTTTTATAAGGTTGTGTGCTTAGAAAATAACTATGTTTTCACTTCTATATCAACTCAACAATCCACACTAAATCCTCATATGAGTTCATCAAGAAACTTGTCCCTCGTCGACGTCATCCTTGCACATCAAATTCTCTTATGAGCCAATTATATAATATGGCTATGTACTTTACTTTGTTTCTAAAATTTAATCAAAGTCTCGATCAATATATACAATCCATCTCGGAACTAGGATTATAACATGTCTCGTGTAATCCAATTTGTTCACCGACATATTTGTATATTTTTACAAAATATATGTTAACCCTTATTGCTCCGATGATACATGTATAAAATATAATACATAAATAAATTACTACAGAATTACTAGTTCAATACTCTTAGATACTTATATTGAGAATACAGTTTATGTAGATTTTGAAATAAACCACCCCAAACACCATGCTATATTGTAACGCCTGTGTTTCTGGGCTTGCCATTTTTAGCAATGTAATGGTCTAGGTTAACCTTTGTAACCCATTTTGAAATAATAGAAGTGTATTATTTGAGTATTATGTGTTTTGTGCTTAATTGCTTAATTATGTGGTTTGATTAATTAAGAATAAAAATAAGCGTTAAAATTTAAGTGTAAAATAAACTCGATATCTTTAGATAATGTTGTAGTAGTTGAAACAAGGTTTCCGAAGATATAAAGAATGCCGAAATCCGAGTTATAACGAAGAAGTTATGACCTGTCGAAGTTTCGCGACAGAACCGGCACGATCCAGCGCGACCCAGCACGATGTAAATAGTGAATTTAAGGTAGATAGATATCTATCCTTAGTGATCTAAATGAGAATTGAATATCTCATTGATAGTAGTGCAACGACGGAAAGACGGACGGAATCGGAGTTCAGATGAAGGAGTTATGAATTTCGAACGGAGTTTTCCTGTCCCGGCCTACTAAAAATAATATATAAGTAATATACTTATAATATATTAAAAATAAAGTCAAAATTAGCCAATGAGTCTAAACGAGAGTTGTAGATCATGATCTCACCTTCGCGGCGATATAAAGAACGTCGAAAACGGAGTTCGTATGCGAAAGTTATGAATTTCTGAAGTTCGGGGCGCGAAACCCCAAAACTGTCAGAGACCACGACGTGGCAAGTGTCCTGACACCTCCGGGAGGCCCCCAGATGCAACTTGGGATGACGCATGCAGTGACGACCAAGCCCACGACGTGGAAAAAGGTTGCCACGACGTGGCAAGGGCCAAAATTGCCCTATAAATAGATTTGAAGGGCCAGCCGTTTAGGGTTGCTATTTTCTCTCTTCTCTCTCCCGTTTTACCTCGATTTGCGTGCCAGAAGTACCCCGAAGCCCCGGTAATATCCCCGAGTCCCGAAGCAAGTCCCGAGATCCCGAGAAGTGCGGTTTCCGAGCCGAAGCTCTGCCCGCGAGAAATTCGACTTTTGTAGAGATCTTCCAGATCTGCTGAGGATTACTACTTCTGCAAGCTGTAGTGTTGTCCGATCATCTTCTGATCAAGTGAGTGTGTAGTTACTTTCTTCTAACGCATAATTATGAAGTATTTTATACGAAATACGTGTTATGTGTATAGTTTTGTTGTTATGTAAGTGAATGTATATTCACTCTCTTTAATCACATAGATCTGATTTGTTTTCTATGAAATACGTGTTATGTGGGTATGCCTCATCTGTTGTGTGGAATATATATTGAATGAAAATGATATATACAGGTTTTAAACTATGTATAAAAATATATATTTTTATCTACTAATATGTTGGGTAGAACATGGGTAGATAGTTGGTGTGTAATAAACAGATGAGAGGCCTCGATGTTGTTGTTGTTGTTGACCTAGTTATTCAGCGGAGTATGGATAACGACCACAACTCCTTCTAGACAGTCTCGTGGAACGCTAGCAGGTTCATAACCTGTAGGTGTTGTGAACGATGTGTTCACCGGTGTACTCTATCCCCCTCATGGTTGCCTTTAGGATATCTATTGTTGAGGAAACCCCTTAGCAGTAATGTCCGTCCCGATGAAAATCCTAGATTAGGTCCCTTGAGATAGATGTTGTTTTAGGGACGTAAAGTGAGGATAACGGGAATGGGTAATCGGGATAGTGATTGGTTCGTGAATTTAAATATAATTTATTTATTGTGGGTTGA